TTAGATCTTTTACTTACTCATAATTTTTACCCTTTTTTCCCCGAGTATGGCTTTTAGACTTAACTTAGTTGTTCTATAACATTCAAAAATTACCTGCTTCACTAATCACCTTTTCTGTCGAGTCGCTAAATATGTAAATATTTTACATGTATTTCGGGAACAGCTTCTACCTCCATGAGGTAGGGGTAAGGTCTCGTACACTCTACCCTCCCCATGCTCCCTGTACCCCACCTGTGGGATTACACCGGGTATGTTGTTGTTGTTGTAATGACTGGATATTCAAGCTAAATGTAAATAGTTTGCTAACTGTACAAACAATGAGCAATTTATAAAATGTTCTTTTTCCTTATTGTTGGTGAGAGAAAAGCTGTAATTATCTCTTTTTATTTGTGTAGTGTATTATTGAATATCACCTTATAAGGTAAGGATAAGTTTTGCATACACACTTCCCTTCTCAGACCCCACTAGGAATATTGTTGTTTTAGTATTATTGAATATGAGAACGTACCCAATTATTTCCTTTTCTAGAGAAGTTTTTATTTCCTTGCTTCTATGAACAAATGTTCCGAAGGTTTGTCACTGCAGCTTCTATCAATTATTAAGTAAAGCTTTGTGTATTGCAGCTAAGCAGCTGGAACAACATATTTTGCTTTCTGGAGATGCGGAAGGTGTAATAATTTTGTGGGAGTATTCTCTTGTGGATGCGAAGGTAGTCATTTGCTTGTTCCAACATTCTCTTGTTACCCTACACTGATTCCCTCAACCCCCAATAGGAAAGAATGATACACTAAAAAATGTTTCATTTTCTTGGATTGAGAGAGAAAAAGATAGTTTGAGATGGTAAGCCAGTATCCTTGAAACTTATCACCAAGACAATAGAATGGACAGTTAAAATAGCTACAATTTGTTTTCTGATTTTCTTATTATTCTTCTTAAAGGTGTATTTGCCTCTTTACCTTTCTCATCAAAAAAATGTATTCGTCTCTTTACCTTTTTCATCAAAAACATGTATTTGCCTTTAAGTCCTTCATATTTTCTTGTCTTAAAAACACAATTTATTAGCATCTCTTTTCTCTGAGTCCTGAATTTTCTTTCGTCTTCCTTGAGTGGGTAAAAGAAGGCATTTAGGTGTAGTCTTTGCTTGAGAATTTAAAGAAACAACACTTGATTAATGTTCAATTACAGCCAGTTCTCCTGCTTGACTAATTATATTTTTGCCGATAGTGAAGATATGTCTTACAAGTGCCACAAGCCCACAAAAAAGGTGTTACCTGCATCACGGCGATCATGGTGTCTCAGCAAGAAGCTGTTTTTGTCATCTGCATCCTCTGATGGCACTGTGAATGTATGAAGTGTTTTTTTCATGCTCTTTGATCTCATTAACTCGCTTCATGTACATTTCGTTGTTGTCGTGCTGGCAGTTCGGGGATCGATGAACTGGGAAGAGATTGGCTGCACTTAGAAATCCTTGAAGTCAATATCTTGAACTAGTTCTTATGGAGTTTCACCATATATAAAGCATGATTACTGTCAGTTTTATGTACATAATTTTGCTCCAAGAATGCTGTGATGCATCACTTGTTGGTCTTCTTTGAGTGATAAATGGTTGTCCAAAAGCTACAAACAATGTATTTGTCATTTGATAAAGTCAATCTTGGCATGACCTTCTTTCATCCCTTGTCATGAAATTTTTTACTTTCATGTGCTAGTGTGTGTGCATTTTGTTTAATAATGGTGGTATCCAGAAGCAACCTATGCAAACCTCGATTATTTCACCGGGTACCTGTTACCTCCCACCAACATAGGTATTGGGCAACTGTGCCATTGGTGGTTAGGCAGATGGGAAGTAATCACCTATCATATCATATATATATATATATAAAAGAGAACCTTAGATCCGCCTACATGGCGCTACCACAAACAAGGATTTCCTTTTAGTTGTTGTAACTTTTATGAAGAGTTGCAACTTTTATGAAGAGTTGTAACTTTTATGAAAAGTTGAGACTTTTATGAAGAGTTGCGACTTTAATGAAGAGTTGTGATTTTTTATGAAAGGTTGTGTCCTTTCCGAAGGGTTGTAACTTTTTCAAAGAATTGTGACCTTTCTGATAAGACACAATAAGCATTTGTTCACACTACCCTTTATTGTTTATAAATAGAGGAATTTCCTCTCATTTTAAAATAACGAAAATTTTGAACTTCTTCTACTTTTGGAAAATTAAATATTTGTGTATTTTGCTCTTGTTGAATGATTCACTGACACCATTGTTTTTGTATTAATACACTGGTGAATAGAATTGTTCTATCATGAGAGGATGTATTCCTTTAAACCTCGAGTACTAGAGATGAATAATTTCCTTAAGGGGACACTGTGCATTTAGTGGGTTCGATTTTTCCATTCTGTTCCATTCTATTGTTACAGATCTTGGTATGTTTTTTACCATCATTAATTTATGCTTATATTATTAATTGTTATTTTTTAGTATATGCTTCAAACATTGTTGTTAGTATTCAAGCAAGTTTTCTTTACTGGAATTGTTGAAGGTACAATAAAAAAAGCCCTTACAAATCTCTAATTTCTTCATCAACAACGTCATCCCTTCACATACAAGGACGAGATTTTGTGTTATTTAGAAAATTCTGTGAGAGTTAATAACTTAGCATGCCCATATTATTTGGTTTTTATGTTGTTGTTATCTATTTTTACTAAATTTTATCAGTGGATATTATGAGTACTTTAAGGATTGAAAGTTGATTAATTTTTTGAGGTATGCTATTTCAAAACATGTGAAATTTTCTGGTTAGAATGATTTGTTATCATCATTGGATATATCATAGTTTACTCCGTTTAATGTATTTTTTTTCTCGCTGTTTTGTTGTCTCCTTAAAATTGTATTGATTATTTTTCGTTTGGTATGTATATGATCTCACTTGGACAAACCTTTCGTCCTTTTAATGTTTTTCTTTTTTTCCTTCTCATT